GTATTGACCTGGGTTGAATGTGAACCATTGACCTCCACGTGAAAAGTCCATAAACCCATAACCAATCCCCTGAGCTTTGAGGTCTAGTCCCCCCCTAGGAGCTATGCGAAGTCAGAATTTAGGATATTAACAGTATTGAAAAGAGACTAATACCTTTTAGGATCTAACTATTATTTTGGGCTGAATGGCTCTACTCTTCTGCTCTTTTTCTCTAATCAAGCCTTACTTAGAACTCACTGGTACAAAGTGGTCCTTGGGGCAGCGAAAGTAGGACCCCTAATCTAAAACATTAACTATACACGCAGAAAACTCTTGTCTTTTATTACCAATTATCCATGCAAAACTGCTTTTCAAAGTGAACTAGTAAAAATACCATGCTTCAGTGGGTCCCAATGAAAACGTATCAGTGACAACCCAAAGTCCATTGAAGTCAATGTGAGGGTTTTTTCTATTGACTTCAGTGGGCTTTGGATCATGCTCCAATATTAGAAAGGGGCTCTTTGCCACTAATAGGTGTTAAATGTATTCACGGATACACCAGTAACACCCTACATTTCCTGTTCATTACCCATTCAGGAACTGCTGAACTGCAGTATTGTGATCTTTCAAATTTTCGCAAGAGACAGAGCTTTGAAGAGGAATTTATGAAGAATTTTGTCTCTAACTCCACTGCCAGGTTTACATAGAATTCTAGCTATACCATGTAAATCTCTCCTTATCCAGGAAGCCATATTGGAACATTCTGCAAATATTCTTGTTTCGCAGGAACTCTACTAGAGATTAATTCAGGCTAAAAAGACTCAACAGCCAGATGTATTTTCTATGACTTTTACCAACTGGCAGAAAGACATCTTGGAAGAGCAAGAATTTTCCATGTAGTAAAATCTGGACAAAGTATTTGAACATTCATGATTAAATCATGATCTTCGAGGAACTGCCTTTTGAGTGCTGTTTTATGCAATGTATTAAGAATATTCTCCTCTTATTGAAAATATGGAAACTTATAAATAGATTAACACTCAAATATTGTTTTTGTTTCCATTAGATAGCAATATTGGCAACTCATCTGTATTCAGAATCTCATCAGTATTTCTTTTTATATTCTTTGGAAAAAGATGTTTGTTTATTTTTCTAGCCTTTTGCAAAATGTTTCATCCCATGGATGAACAACAAATGACTCAGGATGGAAAATTCCCCTGGTTTATCTAGGGGAAGGCAGCTAAAAAACTGAGGATTTCTATTTTAATGTACATCTCCAAATGTTGTTCAAAATAGTCTGACGTCTCATAGGGATCATTCTGACCCGGACAGATTCCTTTTCATGGTATTCAAGATCTTTTTAATTAAGGTGGGAATTAATGTTGTTGGTACCCATTTATAATCTGCTGGAAATCTGACTGTCTCCACTTAGCAGAGAACAAAAGAACTTTTCTGAAACCTGGTTATGGCCTAAGGAAGATAAATTAGACTTCAAATATCCCTCCATAGACGAATGCAGAGAAACAATCACCACCATTTTCAAGGACTAGAACAAAAATGGATTAATCTCTGTCGTAATGCCACCAAGGACCATCTTTTTGTTATAAGTTTGTGCAGCACCTGGCAAAATGGGGTCCTGGCTCATGACTGGGGCTCTGGAAGTGCTAGTGCAATTCAAATAACTAATAAATAATCATACAAAAGGTACGGTGGCTGATAGGGATTTCACTGGAAGGGATTTCTCTAATCATTTTAAGGGAGCCAGACTAAGAGAAAATAGTTGTTGCTCTTTGCTTAAGTTATGCCCATGAGCCCAAACTCTGTCCATCTGCCCCACAGGATGTTTCTACTAAAAAGTGTGTTAACAGTGAAATAATTCAGGTTATTTAAACTTTTACTGCACTCTGAGACCCATTCTTTCAGATTCCAGTATACTGGTAATATCTGGAGGGCTCTCTCTTCCACTGTCAGGGCAAAAATTTAATTTAAAAAATACTTGAAAGTTCAGATTCTGCAGAAACTGCTGTAGATGCTACATCAAGGAGATGCTAGCATGGCATATTGCTCAGTGCAAACCCATGCTCAGAACTCAGAGGGTATATCTTCACTGCAAGTTAGCCTGGGCCTATCCAGGTGTTGCCTTACCACTCCTCTCATCCATGCACAAACATCTCTCACCTGAGTTAAGTGGTGCTTTCAACCCAGGCCATGTGGCCTGGTTTGGAGGTATGGTTTAGAGCTCAGGTTCCACTTTCATGGAGCAGGTAACCTGTTCCCTTTGCAGCGAGGACACAGGCTAAAATCACTTGACTGCTGATAGTCCTCCAATGCCTTCCCACAAATCCCCCCTGTGCTCAGAAGGATAGACAAGTTCTCCCACAACTCACTGGGAAAGAATCATGGAGAGGCTCAGTTTAGTGCATCACAAGGAACCATGGGAAATGTCTCCAGAAGACTCAGTGATACACATCGGTGAGTGTAGCACCAGTGAGGACATCATAACCTGAGTAGGTCTTTGTAGAGTGGCTGCTGTTAAGTCAGGTGCTCAGACCTGAGTACCAATCACCCAGGCTCATTCTGCAGAGAAGACAGACCCACAGACCCATTCATAGAATCATAGAATCGAATCATAGAATATCAGGGTTGGAAGGGACCTCAGGAGGTCATCTAGTCCAACCCCCTGCTCAAAGCAGGACCAACCCCCTGTTAAAAACCAGCTGAGGAGGCTAGCTGGTGGCGTAGTTTAATGCAATAAAGGAAAATTGGGTTTAGATCAGAGAAAATATTGTTAAGTTTTCTGTGAAGGCCTGAAAAACAAACCACCAACAAAATCAGCCTGGTTTATTATCATTGTAACTTTAGTGTCTGACTCACTGGATATATTCAAGTGATGAATCCTTGCAGTAAGACGCATTATACCAGACTTAATATCCTTCAGATAGCTGAGGAAGGGTGTATAATGGCCTTGTGTAATACTTATGTGTCCATGTTTTATGAAATGTGACCCTACTCATATATCTACTTAACATCCAAAGCATTAAATACTTTAGCAACTGTTGCTAGCGCTGTGTTGCATATTGTTTAGATAGGTTTTGTAGTAGATTGAAAAGGTTTTGTATTTGATAGAAAAGAATAAACTACATTTTAAAGACCTTTGGACTGTCAAAGAGAGCAATGAGATAACCTTGCTCTGAATTTTAAGAGCACAATCGTCTTAATATAAAACAATGCCCACGAAAGAAAGATTCTTAAAGACTAATGAAAGGAAGTTTTCCATTCAAAGGGATACTACTGTCAAGTCAAAGGTGGTCCTAAATGTCGGCTTTGTAAAAACAAGCTTTTACAAGACCTAAACCAATAGAGACATTTCTACGAATTTAAAAAGAACGACAATGGACAATTTTTTAAAACAACAACGAAATTTCCCTGCAGTATATGCCACCCTATCATTGGAGCATTAAGTTAGGGCATGGGAAAGCTGAAGACAAAACTGATTAGAAAGTCATGACAAATTCATTTTCAATTGTCAAGCCTGAGGAAAAAAACCAAACAGCATAAATAGCAGCAAGTGAACAAGATTTTTAAAAAGTGTCTGTTTTCCTTTCCTAAGGGCCCTTTCTTTGAACAGCCAAAGCTCCTGTTGACTTCAGTGGTAGTACTGGGAATTCTAGGAATGCAGGACGTAACCTTCAAATGTTATCTGCAAAATAGGTAAGGAGATTTGTTTTAAAAACTATATAGGAAATGCCATACTGGATCAGACCATATAGTCCAGTGTCCTCTCCAGTAGTGGTTGACACCAGCTACTTCAAAGGATGGTGCAAGAAACTGCGCAGTAGGTAGTTATGGGATAACCTGTCCACAGAAAAGTTTCTTCCTAACCCCCATCAGTTTCAAGTCGGCTAAAGCCCTGAAGCATGAGGGTTTCTATCGCTTGCAAACATTTTTTGTTTTAATTTTTACTTTGGAACTTAACTCTGGATGTTTTCATTATGTTTAACCCTTCACAGTGACCTTTCAGTGCAGAATGTAAAACACAAAGTTTACCTGATTCAAAGAAGCTGACTCAAGAGTCTATTAACAGTGGCATAAAGTGGTGGGGTATGTTCCATTATTTTGCCACTTACACTCAACATGTAACTTGCACTGGTTTTGTATTCCTCGAGAATCAAATTCTGTCTGGTGTGGTGGATTCAACTCCCTTTGAGACCAATGTATAGTGTTCATGTGTAACAGCGTGAGAGGGGCTTTACAAAGAAAAATAAAAATCTTTCATGCTCTTAGTAACTTCTCCTGCTCCCTGTCTAAGTTTTATTTGCTTAGGGCACCAGAGTGGATGCAGCAAGTGTATGTTACCCTCTTTTGCCACGTACACCTAACATGTAGCTAACACCACTGTTTATATCACTTCTGGATTTGGCCCAGAAATTCCTCCAGGAATTGCACTTCCCCTTTCCAGGCTACATTTGGCTGAATTAGCCCATGATCTTTATGCTCACACAATCCCATATACATAAGCCGCACTCAGATTGTTTTCAAATAGAACGTATACATGTATGTTGGAATTAAGCAGTTTGAAACAGCAAAATATTATATATGTATGTATGTATGTATGTATAAAAAACATCCAAAATTCAAATTGATTTACATTGTTTATTTGGGACTTGTTGATAGAATTACGCTTTAATACACCATGATAGGATATAATTAATTAAGATGCAAGAGAGGTGTAACAGGATCATGAATGGCTGAAGGTCAGGACTATATTACAGAAGACTGAAAATAAAATACCAGCAGATTGCTTCTGGGCCTGAAGGAGCTGATTCTGCCAAACCATACTGTCAGGTACCAGGAGTCCAGAAAACCATGGCAAACTGGGCAGCCAGCAGACTGTTCAGATGGCCCTCTCCTCCCTATTGCTCCCATTGGCTGTAGTTCCCGGCCAATGGGAGCTGCTGGGGGTGACGCTTGGTGCGGAGGCAGTGTGCAGAGTGGAGCCACCTGGCTGCCCCTACGTGTAGGAGCCGGAGGGAGGCCATGCTGCTGCTTCTGGGAGCCGCGCAGAGCGGCCCCCAACCCTGCTCCACAACTGGAGTGCTGGACTGGGACAAGTCCCAGACCCCACTCCCCAGCAGGAGCTCGAGGGCCGGATTAAAATGGCTGGCAGGCCGGATCAGGCCGTAGTTTGCCTACTCCTGCCTTAGAGTATTCTTACATAATACAATAACAATGGGCAAAGTCCTAAGGGAAATGCTGAGCCCAACAACCTCCCATTACTATTAGCTCAGCACCTCTCAGGATGTGGCTCACTGCTTGCAAAGACTCTAGCAAACTTTAAGCGTCAACGCCTTCTTAACTATATAACATTTGGAAGAAGTATAAAAATGAACAAAAAGAACGATAATTTCTTAAAGCCTGTTAAAAAATAATCTGGCATACATGTAATTATAAGAGACGTCAAAACCTCCCACAGAGAACTGAAAGCTACAAGGAAGCACAGAGTAATAAAATTACCAAGCTGCTTGTCTGCCATTTCCTCGCTTTCTAATTAAGAGACATCAGAACACTGATAAGTGATTCAGTGAATCCAATGTATTTCATTTAGCAAAAAACTCAAGAGCCACCAATCGATAACAAGACTTCACTCAAGCATATGCTGGATCACAGAAGGATCCACTTCTCCGGCCATCAGACTGGTGTGCAGACTTTGGATTGTTGCTTTGATTCCAAAACGCTGTCTCCAAAGGACAAATGCAGCCACAATCTGTGACTGCACATTGTGAGGGTGATTGACTTTACATCTGTAGATGTCATTCTGTGACAAACCCAGATACAGTACAATATGCTCCCACTCAGGCCCCAGACTCCTGGCAAGTTTGTTAATCTGCTGATCTGTTGGTGGGTTCTTCAAAACGTCTGGTGGAATTCCAGTTAACCCGTCATCTGGAAAAAAGCAAAAACATACATACATCACTAGGCAATATTTTGGGCAAAAAATGGGCAAGGTTAATGCAGCCGGAAGCTTCAACAAAAGGGTTAAGCTTTATGGTTAAAGACTGAATTAATTTAGGGAACAAAATATATATAAAACAGAAGGATTCATTACCAAAAACAAGTGATAAACTTTTTGTAACAGGACTCTGAGATTTAGGAAAATAAAAAACCTAAACATACTACTCAGGGTATGTCTACAGAGCCTGTGGAACCAAGCCTCCCAGCCTACGCTGACAGACTTGGGCTAGCAGGGCTCACACTAGCATAGGTGCTGGAACTAGGGGCGTGGGGGGTGCTGCCACACCCCCTGGTTTGAAGTGGTTCCCATCATATCCAGCGTTTACAGTTTGGTTCAATGGTTCTGTGCCTCCACTATACAAATTGTTCCAGCACATTAGCACTCCAAAAAGAGCTGTGTAGACAGCGCTTTGAAATTGTGGCTTGGGTTGGAGCTCTGGCTCTGAAGCCCCCTCCATCCCCTTCCTAGGCTTCAGGGCCCAAGCGGCAACTTCAGTGCTTACACAGCTAGTTTCAGAGTGCTAGTGCGAGTCCTGCTAGCCCGAGCCTGTCCGCCCGGGCTGGGAGGCTTGCTGTCACAGGCTGGGTAGACATACCCTAAGAGGCCAAGATTTTCAAAACTGACTGGTGATATTGGGTGACTAACTTGAGATCCCTGAGCAGAGGGTGAGTGGTCAGCACTTTCTGAAAAGCAGGCCCCTCTAAGGTGTCAAGCTGGGCACTCAAAATCACCAGTCACTTTTGAAAACTTTGGACGGATTTTATGTCCTAGTTGCTAAGGACAGAAGGGACCATTCTAGTCTCACCTTCTGCACAAACACAGGCCATAGAATTTCAGCCCGTAATTGCGTCAAGCCCATAATTCCTGGTTTAACTACAGTATATCTTTTAGAAAAATATCCAACCTTAAAGACATCAAGGGATGAAGAATCCACCACATTCCTAGATAACTTGTTTCAATGGCTAATTAACCTCACTGTTAAAAATTTGTGCTTTACTTTTAGTCTAAATTTGTCTAGCCTCAGCTTCCAGCCATTGGATCTTGTTATGCCTTTGTCTGTTATATGAAAGAGCCATCTACTATCTGAAACCTTCTCCCCAGGGAGTTATTTATAGATCATGATCATCCCTTAATCATCCTCTTTTAAGTTAAATACATTGAGCTTCTTTTGTCTCACTATGAGGCATGCTCAGATCTCATTTCTGATCTCTTTCCAATTTGTCAATGTCCTTTTTGAAGCGTGGCCATGATGAGTAGACACAGTATTGCAGTAATGGTCTCACTACGGCTTTATACGGTGGTAGTAAAATCTCCATACCCCTTCTTATTCCCCTGCTTATATGCTCAATGATCACATTGCACTGTGAGCTCATGTTCAGTTGGCGATGTACTAATACCCCTAAGTCTTTTGTGTGTTGCTGCTTACCAAAATATAATCCCCCATTCTATGAGTCTGATCTACAATCAGTGTGACCTAATGTTCATGCATATAGTTGTATTAAAATATATGTACTTCAAATAAGTCTCGCTTACCATGCAATCAAACTTGCTCTGTAGAACTGACCTGTCCTTATCATTAGTTACCATTCCACCAGTTTTTGTCATCTGCAAACTTTGCCAGCAATGATTTTATAGTTCCTTCCCAGACCACTGATAGAGATATTGAATAACAGTGGGCCATTAAAAGATCCCTGAGGGATCCTACTAGAAATGTTCCCAGTGGATGGTGATCCCCCATTTACACTTACTTTTTTTTTTTTTTTTTTTGAGATCTAGCAGTTAGCCCAGGGGTTCGGGACCCCTAAGGGGTCGTGAGGTTATTACATGGGGGGTCGCGACCTGTCAATCTTCACCCCAAACTCCACTTTGCCTCCAGCATTTATAATGGTGTTAAATATATTAAAAAAGGGTTTTTAATGTATAAGGGGGGGTCACACTCAGAGGCTTGCTATGTGAAAGGGGTCACCAGTACAAAAGTTTGAGAACCACTGAGTTAGCCAGTTTTTAATCAATTTCACCAAATTGCCCATGTCTCCTCTCCACTCCTGCCAGCACAATCCCAACCTGCAACGCCCTATCTCACTCAGCTATCTGGCCTCTCCTTATTCACAATCTCCTTCCCATTACAAATTATTTCCCATAATCCCCCTTCCCCGACCCAGTTCCATTCATCTGGCCTTCCTCAGATCTCTTTCATGGGATTTCTTCCAGTCCCATGGTCCCAAAACAATTTTTTCGACTGGCTCCTGAATTTTGTCCAAGCTCCCCAGTGCTTCCCCCAAAATCCAGACACGTATTGCTCACCTCAAAAAATTCCAATGCACTGCAAGATTTTACTACCAGAATCACAGACTACAGTACCAGTATAGTCCATCCACCAATACAGCTACCCAAGGAAGTGCATAGGCTACCATAGTTAACAGTGTTTAAAATGTTAAAGGAATTGAACATAAAACCTCCTGTAAACCCGAGGGGCCTTCTTGAGTATTCCTTATTGTAATTTCAAAGGAACTGAAAAGGATATTTTAGATCTCAATGTGCTGTTCAGAGACACAGTCTTTTGCCTGTAAAGTCACAGCTGATACTAGTTACACTGAAAATGATGCAATTAGAAAGAAGGTATTGCAAACATATCTATGAAACCTAGTCATCCTTAGATACTAACTGTCCCTGGAGATTACACCCTGATGCTACAGGCCAATGAATTTTGTCCTCTAAATTTGTTGCCTGGGGGATTGCATCAAAATGGAAGATAAATACCCTCCAAGAGAGCGCTAATTATAGCCTACTGATCTCAACGATGAATAAGCATCCAGCTCCCTACAGCAGAGCCGTTTTGTGAAATCTAATTCATAGCTCCAATATCATGCTCACAGTCTTCATCAATGTAACACAGTAACAGTGAAAATGCAGCACTCCCTTTACATGAAAAGTTTCTTGTAAAATATTTTTTGCATAAAATATCCAGGGCCTACAGATCATTTGGGTCATTCGAGACTGATGTACACTATCAAGAGCTGTTTTGAATAAAAGAAATAAATTACTGTCTAAAAAATATTTTAGGCTGCTTTCATCTTTATGTCTCCAGACTACTAGAAGAGCCCTGGGGGGTTGGATGGTTAACAGAGGACTAATAATGGGCTACTCTGCCTTCCTTAGGTCACCAGTACAAACCCAGCCCAAGTCAGTACTAGCTGAACGGTATGTCCCCCAAATGGCCATTTGGTGGCTTATGGGAAATGAATTGGTGGTCTCAGTCCAGATCACAGTGGACGTAATTTCAAATCAGTTTGCAAAAGTGGATTACTTTGGGCCTGATCCACTGAAGTTAATCAATGTCTTTCAACTGACTTCAGTAAGCTTTGAGTCATGCCTTTTGTTGACAATCTCAGCAAAGGGATCAAGGATGAAATGGGTAAGAAAACTGAACTACCCTCTCATCAGTAGGGGGGGTCTCTCCAGAAAAGGGTTGAGACAACATTGGTGGGGCTGCCTGTACTGCCGCTTCCCAGCTCTGCAGGTAATCAGAGGCCTTCTGTCTCCATAACTGAAAATCTGAACCCTCCGTGAACAAATATTTAACTAAAACTAAAATTAAAAAGATATGGTACAGTATAACTATGGTTATATTGTACTCTGGCTGATAATATCTCATGGTAATACAGTTATTATTATGCTTAGTACTAAATATAAAATGACTGCTCCCCTCCCCGCAAAGAACTGTTATCTGCCAACCTCCTGTGATCTTTGCTCTCACACCAAACTGTTTACATTTTCTGGGCACTAGCAATAAGATGATTTTATGCTGAGGATATTGAAATGTGATTATGCAGGGAGGCTTGACAAAAGCCTTGACAAATGCCCTTCCATTCTCTAATATTAAACAGATTTCTACATCTAGTTGTGACCCAGGGAACCCTTGGTGCCAACTAGCAGAAAGCACAGGGCTTGGATAGGGTTTTACAGGGATCTCCTGGGTCAGATATCTGCATGATAACTCACCAAAAGGTGGCATGAAAGGTCTCTACTGAGAGCCGGTAGCCTACTGGTTGCCATAACCATTGCAAAATGTATGTAGGGATAATATTTAAGGAGTTATGTATCTACACTGAAAATTACACCTCTACCCCGATATAACACTGTCCTCTGGAGCCAAAAAATCTTACCGCGTTATAGGGGAAACCGTGTTATATCGAACTTGCTTTGATCCGCCGGCGTGCGCAGTCCCACCCCCCCGGAGCACTGCTTTACCGCCTTATATCCAAATTCGTGTTATATCGGGTTGCGTTCTATCGGGGAGAGGTGTATGTTCTTAAGGTCTTAGAGTAAGGGAGGTCACCAAGAGGTAACATACCTTGGACATATTCCTTTCAGGTAGGAGGTAGCAGATACTTATATCCCTGTCTGATCATTTGTGTATTGTCTGCCTCACACTGGAGGCCTATTTGCATACTGAGCAAGGTGCCAGTCAAAAAGCTGCGAAATCTACAAACGAGAAAATCTATAGTAAGAAACAGATACAGCAGGTGGAGTGTCCTGTTTATGGAAGTAGACAAAAGATGGGATTGGTACATACTGGGGGGGCAAAGAAATTCACTCGGTCATCCTTCACCTAGGAGACAAGCTGACAGGTTGTCTGTCTCATGAAAGGAGGATTACAGCCAAGCCTGGTTGTAAAGCGCTGCAAGGATTTTGGGTGAGCATTGCTCTATGACACGAAAATACCTTAGTAATTAAGTCTAAACTTTAGGATGAGCGTTATGATTTTGTTTTATAGGTAACTATTTCTTTCCACTACTTCTACTTGCTACTACTTCAGTCTCTGTACTTTGTTAAATAAACTTATACTTAATGTCATTATGAATAGGGCCCTACCAAATTCACGGTCCATTTTGGTCAATTTCACAGACATAGGATTTTAAAAATAAGA